TACGAGTAGAAGTGAGGGAAGACGCTGATGAGGTAGAGGAGAGGGATGAGGTAGAAGAATGGCTCCGGGCGTCAGTGGATGACTTTTTGTTTTTCCGGCGCTGGGCCAATCGTGCATTGCTGACATCCTTGAAAAAGAGAGAAAAAAATTTAGTTTATAGGTCATTTCTTAGGACATTTAAATGTAATCTCCAAACTATATTAATCATATCATCTATGTCAGACTCCAATAACTCTTCCTATAAAAAATTCTTATCTAGAATACTTACTAACAAACGGAAGCCTTCTCTGGTGGCCATATGGAATGCATGAAAGGTTTGTTTGACCCCTGCCTCCGCTGACACAGGTCCTTTGAGGGTCGGCCTTGCACTGAGAATGGTAGGGGTCATGAGTGGCGTGGCCGAGAACACAGAAGGCGGGCCACCTTGCAACCACTCGTCTTGCAACAATTCATTGATGGTCAGACGTTTTGAGGCATCTACCGTCAACAATCCTGTGAAAATACAAAATTTAGTAATACATACATAGACTTTCTTTTCCAAACATGCTTTTTCTAAAATCTTTTCTTAAGGATTATACTACATTAGTATTTAATTTAAAACTGTTAAAATAAAACTTTAGTACAAGTCTGAATTTCTTCTCAAGCTCTCTAAATCAAATTTAAATCTTATGAAAAGAAAAGATCCATTACATACCTTTAATAAGTTTCTTTGCCTGAGTTGACACAGTTAGCCACTCTGGTCCAGACATGTCAAAACTTCCACCTTTTATGCGAGCAATAATAGATGCTGAGGTGTCGTCTTTACTTCTTGACTGAAATGGGGCTCTACCAGACAACATGGTATACTGAAAAGAAGATAAGAAGAATATTAGATAAATGGAATAAAATACATGGATTTTAGGCAAACTTTATATGTAATCAAGTGAAATCTTTGCCATGTTATGAAAATAATAAAAAAGACAAAGTAATAAAAATACTTTGTTCTCTCAAGGCTTATTGCAATGTTACATTTAGGAAACAAATATGTGGTAATATAAGATCATGTAAAATAAAAAAAACAACTTACCAAAATAACACCTAAACTCCACCAATCACAAGTTTCATCATAACCCGCAGCACCCTGCTGAACTGCCTGTCGCAAAACTTCAGGAGCCGCATAGTGAAGAGTGAAACATGGGGTCTTCATACATCCATCTTTTTCTGGCTTCATGCGGGCAAAGCCAAAGTCCACAACCTTGATTTCTGAGTCTTCCGAGGAACTTTTGAAAAGGAGATTCTGTGGGGCAAAAGATAGTAAAATTAAAATTACCTGAAAGATGGCTATGGGCTCCAATGAATGATTTCAGGTATCACAGTTACAAACTCTTGGCCTCTTTTTATTCATAATAGACACAACAAATTCAAAACTAATATGTTTCTTACCTCTGGCTTCAGGTCTCTATGTACAACACCTTTTGTATGCATATAATGGACAGCAGACACTAGACTCTGCATGATGACTGACGCTTGTGCTTCTGTGAATCTTTCGTGTTTTCTGATCCTCTGAAGAAGTTCACCTCCCTCAAGAAGTTCCATAACAATGTATGTGTGCGCCTGTTGACACAAGAATATGAATTAGATCCTGAACTTTATCTAGAAAGTCAATCTGGTGCCTTTATATCAGACATATATACATAAAAACATTATGAAGAAAACTATAGTAATAATAACAACAATAATGATAATACTTACTTCATCATAAAAAACTTCATGGAAGGTAACTATATTGGAATGTCCTTGACAAGCACGTAGTAAATTAATTTCCTGTTGACAGTCTAACCTGCGCGACACAATTTTCACAGCAAAGGCACGGCCTGTAGATTTTTGGATACATCTACGACACACACTATAAAACTGCCATCACCTAGTATGCCTTCTCGTAGATCTAATTCATAATGCTGGAAAAATGCAGAATCCTGAAACAGAAGGAATTGAAATATTAGAATAATTTAATGAGAAATAATATAATATTTAGAAAAAGTATACCAAACAGTACAGTAAAGATTTATTTTGCTAATACTTTAAATTACAAGAATAAATAGAAAAACTGTTTTAACTTACCTTGAAGCTACAAGCCATTAGATTATTTGTGTCTGGTCTTCTGTCTGGAGACATCTTGAAGAGAGAATCACTAACAACATTTTCAGTAAAGATGACTGAAGGTGCTACATATGAGTAGCCCTGTAGAATTGAGAGAAAAGGATAACATTAAAACAGGTTATAAATTTAATACATGTGGATTAGAAGAAGACACAAAAAGACAAAAGCTTATCAGTAACTGATAAAGTTATAAATAAATCATCTAAATATAGTACTTTACAGATAACAGCACCACTTTGAAAGGTACATCTTGAAAGATATATTCAAAAGCATTATCAATTCAGTAAAGTATAAACAGATAAAAAAGGGATGGGTACAAACACAATTTTCTATCAAGATAAAAGGGACTTAAGCAGGTATGTAATATAAATCAACTAATTATACCCATATTAAAAGAGAAAACTTACATTGAACATTTTATCCACATCTGGGGGAACTATGGCAGGGGAATCTTGAGGAACCATAGCTGTAAACTCCTCTGAGAAATTGCTGACATCAAGTTCATTGCTGATACGAGGAACAAAGGGAGCTGGGACTTTTTTCTTGGCCAGGTCATCCCAGTTTATAGTCTGCAAAAGAAAAATTATACCCATATTATGCACTTTAAATATCTTGGATACTTGTGTTTAGAGGCTATACTAATAAGTATTAGAACATTAGACATGATAGCATATACTGCTCATGGATTAGCAAGAAGGCCTTTTGCTTCTCATTATGTCATAATCATTCTTTTGTCTTGAATTAAGAAAGTAATACTATCAAGTCCAATAAACAATGTAAACGAATCATCAATTCACCACAGCAGGCATGCCACATATTATTAATTTAATTCTTTCTTAGTTTGCTCATTTATTTTCATGTCATCCACTACACAGATGATAATGTGCACAGTATATTTGGTTGACAAGAGTATGGGATAATAAACTACAATAAAGCTTCAAGAGTTTATGTAAGTCCTAAATATTCTCTTACCTTGAAGAATTTATGTTCCTTCAGCTCTTCAGCATCCCTTGGACCGCCTCCTAGCCGTTGACGAGGGTCTTTCACAAGAAGCCGGGAGATAAAATCACGAACCTCAGACGACAGTTCACTTGGTAGTGGGGGCTGGGTCTTCAAGATTCGTCTAGAAAAGCAGAAACATTCTTAGAAAACCTGCAAATTAATCTGGAATATATATATATATATATATATATATATAATATATATATATATATATATATATATATATATATATATATATACATTTTTGTGTTTGTTTGTCTGTGTGTGTATATGTGTGTGTATGTGTGTGTATGTGTGTATGTGTGTGTGTGTGTGTGGTGTGTGTGTGTGTGTGTTGTGTGTGTGTGTGTGTGGTGTGTTGTGTGTGTGTGTGTGTTGTGTGTGTGTGTGTGTGTGTGGTGTGTGAGTGTGTGTGTGCACGTGTGCGTGTGTGTGATTGTCAGAGTGAGTGAAAGTGAGAGTGAGAGTGTGTGTGTGGGTATATCGAAGCTTTCTCTTTCCTCATGCATTATGTTTTAGCAGCTTTGTAAAGTGTAACAAAATTATCCACTTGCAACAGAAATTGCCTCACACATACCTTGAAATCTCCTGCTGGTTATTTTTCTCTCCTTCCACAGTAAATGGTGAAGCTCCCGTTAACAATTCATACGTTAATACACCAACACTCCACCAGTCTACCGCCTGCAAAAAATCATAAAATAAGCAAATACAGATAAAACTGACAAAAACTTTGCAGACAATGACCCTTCAAACAAGAGACAGATAAACATACAGGAACCACACAATACCATAAACTGATAAAATTACTGAAATACCAACTTGGGGCCTGAGAAAATTCCTTACCTGATCATGGCCATGTGAGCCCCCACGCACCACCTCAGGTGCCATGTACTCAATCGTACCACAGAAAGAGTAGGCTCTGTGCTCTGTGTCATGGGGAAGGAAGTCTTTGCTGAGACCGAAATCCGTCAGTACTATATGCCCATCTGAGTCTAGGAGGATATTTTCCAACTTGATATCACGGTATATTATGCCCAGCTGAAAAACGAGTTTTAGTTAATGTATGCATTCCACCATTTTCTTCATAAAAAAGGGGCAATAGTATTAATATAATAATAATAGTAATAACAATAATAGTAAAAAAATAAAAAATAACAAAAATAGAAATTACACTTTACTTTTCCTTTTATTCATGTACATGACTTCAAAATCTACAGACCTAGCACCATGGCCAGTTCTTGTTTAACTTATCAGAATTGTGAGATGAGATAATAGTATGAACTTTGTATCTATTAATGACATTTTGTACTCACCTTGTGCAAGTGCTCAAGGGCAAGGATGATCTCTCCAATGTAAAGCCGAACCTCTTCTTCGCGAAATCTTTCCCGCTGATAGAGGTGTGTGAAGAGTTCTCCGCCACTTACATAATCTGTTGTGAAGATGATATGCATATTTTATACTCTTGACTCATTTCGTTACTCGCAATATCATTAGTCTATCAAAAAGCCTATGTCATCCAGTGAATTTGTCCTTATCAGTGTAATGTAGCTCTTCCACAATCATGAATTTCATCACATACTCATACAAAACAAATCATAAGATACAGAGACCAAATATGCAACAGAGAACAATACAGCGACATCCTACCTAGAATGAGATGAAGCTTGGCATCGGTTTGGAAGGCATAGTGAAGGGTGACGAGGAAAGGACTCTGACGGACTGCCTCCAGGACTTGGCGTTCTGTCTTGGTGTGTTCTGTGGTCTTCTTCTTTTGCACAATAGTTGCTTTCTTTAGCACCTTCATTGCATAAAGTTTCCCTGCATCTCTTCCTGAAACCTTCCGCACCAGGAACTTTTCCATATGCTGAGGAAGAAGAGAGAAAAATCATTAATTTCAATCATGCTGATAGCAATTAAAGTGTGTTCCATGATGTTCTTCTAAGATATGAAACATGAAAAAGTAGGTCATCAGCATACATCTCTTGCTCACTCTCTTCTTGCATGACTGTCGCCTGCCTTTGTTATCTGCTTTACATATATAACCTTTATTGTATGTTGAATAGTAGAGTACCCTTTCCCAAATAAACACATGCTTTTGAGAATATGTACTTCACTTTCTTTTTATTATCTAATTCAGTTGAATTGCTTTATCTCTTTACTTGCATGTACATATGCATGAATGAACATGTACATATGCATGAATGAACATGTACATATGCATGAATGAACATGTAATATACATGAATGTACATATGCATATATGCATCTATGCATGTTTTACATTCTTGCATGTCTGTGTACTGTATGTATATGAATATGCATATGCATTATGAACAGGTACCTCCATATCTATGTGTGTGGGTGATGTGTGCGTATATATATATATGCATATATGCAGCAGGTGGTAATGCAAGCACTGAAGCATGTCACGTTGCAATCTGAATTCACGTGGCACCGAATCTCTTCAACGTGTGCATGAGAGCTGAATCACTCGACGTCGGCGCACCACTATCACCCGCTGTCCACACAGATTGCGTTATCAAGGCAGGTACATGTCTAGCCTTTTCGGTGTCTGTGCTTGCCCGAAAGAGGGGGTAGGGGAGGGTGGGGGGTGGAGAGGGTAGGGAGGGAAGGAGGGAAAGAGGGAAGGAAGGAAGGGGAAGGGGAGGGGGAAGGGGAGGAGGGAAGGAAGGGGGAGGGGGGAGGGGAAGGGGAGGGAAGGGAAAGGAAAGAGGGAAGGAGGGAGTGGAAGACAGAAAGGGTGAGAGAGGGAGGGAAGAGAAGGGTGAGGGAGGTAGGGAGGGAAGAGAGGATGGGTGAGGGAGGGAGGGAAGGAAGAGGATGAGGGGAGGGAGGGAGGGAGAGACAAAGAGAGAGAAAAAGAAAAACATGAAAAGAACTAGCAAAAAATGACAGAGAAAAGAACTAGACACGAGATAAAGAAAAAACTACACAAGGCAAGGAAAAAACAAACAACAAAAGCAGAACGACAGAAAAAGTGAAAGCTAACGAGCAACAAAAGCGGAAGACACAGAAGACCAGCTGAAAATGGGAAAAAGGCAAGACTGCGTGAAAGAGTAAAGTCTCGTCGTGGTGGCCAGGGGCGAAACCGAACACTTGGGCCGCCAGTCGATAACAGTGAACTTGGGTCGGCCGCTGATCCATAAGGATTCGAACCCGGGCAGTTACCAATCAATAATAATGAATAGTGGCCAGGAAGTAACGCCGAACACTTGGGCCTGCCACCAGTCGATAATAATGCGTGGTGGCCAGCGGGAGACGGGAACACTTGGGCCAGCGATCGATAATAATGATAATGCAACACCTGCCGCGGCGGGCCAGTGCTGGCACTCGGCCGCTGCACCGCTTCACGCCCGGCACTCGAACTTCACTGGGGAAGGACCGTGTTTCTCCTCCTGTCTTTTTCTCTACGGGTTCTCTGTCTCATCTCTTTTCTCTTAGATATATTTTCCATCTGGATGTTCCCCATTTTTCCTATTATCTCTATCTCTAGCGTTTCTACTAAGTCTTTTATATATACCTTCTGGAAATTCGTGCTTCCCTTTCTTTGGGCTATCTATTTCGGTTTCTAATTTAGGCATACAGCTGGCCAGCATTTATATTTCTTTTTCATTCTACATTTCCAATCTACGGCGCATTTCCACCAGCAAGCCCTTCGTAAGTCTCGCCCCAACACACCCTAATACATAAGAGGCATCAAGAAGGTTATGTAACTCCGTGTTGGTTCCTAAACGCTCCACCTTCAGCGCTGTGTCCTCGTGGATCTAGCACCTCTTGCTAATCTCGGCCTCAATAAACACCAGTTGAGAGTATGGTGGTATTTTCCACACAATTAACTGACAACACAATGTTAGGTGTATTTGTCATTAGCAGAAGGGTGGTGGTGGTGGGGTTGTTATTGTGATTGTTGTTGTTATTGTTGCTGTCATTGTTGTTGTTGTTGTTGTTGTTGTTATTGTTGTTGATGTTGATGATGGTGTGGTGGTGGGTTGATGTTGGTGATAGAAGAGGTGGAGGAGGAGGAATGGAGAAGCAGGGAGGCGGAGAGAGTGCGATATTTAAAATATAAATGTTCCGCTTTCCTATATCCAAGAAAAAATCGTCCTTATAGGCATAGTACAGATAATAAACCACATTATCATGCCTGTTGCAAAAAAGAAAAAAGATATGACCTTTCATAAATCCATGACCTCGTTACAGTTAACTTGTTCTACCCTCTTGGTAAAACTTGCGAAATTCCCCCCAGCAGCCTCGATATTTTGTGCATTTGTCGTTCCAGCATTCGATATCCAACCCAGAATCAAACTCCCCGGTATTTTTCCCCTTTCATCTTCCGTTCCAGTTTCGTAATTACTGATGGTTGGGGAAAAAAGAAAGAAAAAAATCCTTGGACACAAAATTCATCAGTTTCGAAGCGAGCAGTAACCCCAAACTTGCTGCCGTTAATTCATTTCATTTTTTCCGCGTGCTTACATGTTAAAGCTGATGTACCTGTAATAGACGAGGGAGCAATAGTAGTAGTAGTAAGGGAACGTTTAGCACAGTGATAAAAAATACCACGCATACTTTTCCTGCTGTTTATGGTAACAAGACCTAACAACAGACAAACCTAAACCTCAAACCAAACCCCCAAGTTCTACAGCAAAACCCCTTCTACAAAAACTTATTCCAACAAACCCTACAACTTCTCAGAAAACCGCCAAGAATTATAAAGTAGTCATCGTGATATTAAACAGAAAACGCGGGGGTTTCGCGGAAGCATCAATACAGGTAAAATGGCGGCCACCAAAACATATCGCAGATGCCATACAAAACCCAGCGTTCGTGCAAGTATATAGGCCAACGGAGCTGTAAACCTTGCTGTTCCTCCAACATGGCATGCGGTAGGAGTGCATGGGAGTGTCTGGAGTACGGAGTTCTAGTTTCGTACTGTTGCGAGGTCAGTATGTGAGCGAAGATGTGGATGGCGGTTGCAATAGCAATTGTTAATTGATAGCGGTTGTAGTTGTTATGGTTGTAGTAGTAGTAGTAGTAGTAGTAGTAGTAGTAGTAGTAGTAGTAGTAGTAGTAGTAGTAGTAGTAGCAGCAGCAGCAGCAGCAGCAGCAGCAGTGGTGGTGGTGGTGGTGGTGGTAGTAGTAGTAGTAGAGTAGTAGTAGTAGTAGTGTAGTAGTAGTAGTAGTAGTAGTAGTAGTAGTGTAGTAGTAGTAGTGGTGGTAGTGGTAGTGTAGTGGTAGGTAGTAGTAATAGTAGTAGTAAGTAAGTAGTGGGGTGGGGGTGGTTGTATTGGTAATAATAATAATTGATAATGATAATAATAGTAATTGTAATGGAAGTAATTGTAGTAGTAGTAGTAGTAGTAGTAGTAGTAGTAGTAGTAGTAGTAGTAGTAGTAGTAGTAGTAGTAGTAGTAGTAGTAGTGGTGGTGGTAGCAGAAGAAGTAGTAGTAGTAGAAAAGGTGTTAGTAGAAGTAGTAGTTATAGTAGTAGGGGTGGTAGCAGAAGTAGTAGTAGTACTGGTAGTAGAAAAGTAGTTGTTCAAACAGCAGTAACATTAATCCTCATGATAATAATGATTATAATGATGAAAGCGACGGCAGAACGAAATGCAACCAAGCAGAAATTAAAATCAATCATGACAACATGACCTAGTAACAAAATTATTTATCACTCCGAAGACCTAAGCCTATCTCCACCTCCCCCAACCCCTTCCTTCCTCTACCCCCCCCCCTCGATATGACATCGACCCACTAATCCCACCAACAAAAATATCCCAAAAATGGGGCCAAAGGAAGGGGAAAAATGCATACATATAAAATAAGAGAGACACACGACAAACGAGGTCGACCGATAAGGAGTAAGTAGGTCGGTTAGCGATCAATGTGACGAACTGAGCGACCATAACATAACAATTGCTTTCTCGTGAGAACACTTTGAGTTTTGAGTGGGAGGGGGAGAGTGGAGAGGAGGGAGAGGGGAGAAGGTGAGAGACGGGGGAGAGGGGAGAAGGTGAGAGAACGGGAGGGAGAGGGAGAGGAAGGATATGTGGAGAAACGCGAAGAAAAACGAAGGACAAGATAAAACATATAAGAATAGGACGAGAGAGAGAAGGAGAGAGAAGAGAGAGGAGAGAGAGAGAGAGAGAGAGAGAGAGAGAGAGAGAGAGAGAAGAGAGAGAGAGAGAGAGAAAGAGAAAGAGAAAGAGAAAGAGAAAGAGAGAGAGAGAGAGAGAGAGAGAGAAGAGAGAGAGAGAGAGAGAGAGAGAGAGAAGAGAGAGAGAGAGAGAGAGAAGAAAGAAAGACAAAGAAGACAAAGACAAAGACAAAGACAAAGAGAAAGAGAAGGAAAAGAGAAAAGAGAAGGAAAAGAGAAAGGAGAAAGACAGACCGAAACACTAATCGCACCGGCTCTCACACGTCAAAGTAAACAAACGCACACGCAGCGCCGAATGCGATCGTCTCTTGTCTCTCTCTCTTTTACTCCGTGACTAATAACACGTTTCAGTCTCGCTTCGCGCATCTTTTGTTTTCTTCTCCCTCTCCTCCTCCTCCTCCCTCCTCCTCCTCCTCCTCCTCCTCCTCCTCCTCCTCCTCCTCCTCCTCCTCCTCNCTCTACTCTCATCATTCTCTCTCTCTCCTCACTCTCTTCTCTCTCTTCTCCTCTCTCTCTTCTCTCTTTCTCCTCTCTCTCTTTCTCCTCTCTCTCTTTCTCCTCTCTCTCTTTCTCCTCTCTCTCTCTTCTCTCTCTTTCTCCTCTCTCTCTCTTCTCTCTCTTTTCCTCTCTCTCTCTCTCTCTCCTTTCTCCTCTCTCTCTCTCTCTCTCTCTCCTCTCCTCTCTTTTC